TTTTTATTTTTGAACAATTTTCCGCACGTAGGTCGAATCGTGAAATTGACATCATTTGTGTACACAAAATGAGCATTCTTTATTAGGATCTCATGCTGTCAAAAACGATTCAATACGAGAGATATTCTGGAATACAACAGTTTAATACATCAACTTTCCAAGTGTGATCACAAAGGTAGAGTATCTTGGTAAATGTAAACACTGTCGTCACGTCAAATAAATACTCGACTAAGCGGAAAAGTGGTACTTTTTAAACTGCGATTTCCCCGTACTGGGACAAAACTAGATAGCGGGAGTTGCACACACTCAACAACCGTACATGAGAGCACCATAATCCGTAAAATATCCATGACTATTATCGTAGGAAAAAAAATAAAGCGAAGTGGAAATGTGAGATTTTCACATACAAGCCTGAGTATCAGGTGTTTCTGGGAGCGTTTCTGGGGGAAAGGGGTAAGAGAGAAGCGAGAAAGGGAGAGAGCGAAAGGAAGAAACGCCTGATACAGATGTTTTTACTAGAGCCTTCCACCCCCACACAGCACAATTCAAATCATCCAATCAAAATCACTTCCGGTCTTTGCGTTGTCAGCTTCACGTGTCAAAAAGCGGGAATTTCGAAGCTGGTACTGACCCTGGGAAATTGTTATGTGAAATTTGCAACGAGAATTTGCGATCAAAAAGCGGTGCTTGCGTTGCCACGGTTTCTTTTTTTTGTGAAAACTCCAATAAAGAGTTTTCAAACGCGTGTAATGGAAAACCTGTCGTTTTTGCGGAATTGTTAGGTGTTTTAGGTATTGTGCCATTGCAAGATCGTCAATTAACGCTCTATTTGTAAAAAGTGCGCACAGAAGATTGTGAATTGCTACAAACTGTTGACAGAGTTACAGCAGGTGTTCACTGATAAATCCGGCGGAAAATAATCTGACAGAAATACAGAAAAAGCTTGTACCTGCACTCTTCAAACTCCTGAGAAATCAAGGAAAGAAAATTACCAGCGCGTGTCTCAACACCAGCGATCGCTGACTGGAATCACCCCCACTGCAAAGCGTCAAAAGGGCACTTAATCATCGCTTTTAGACACAACCCAAGGGTAACAATCTGAGCGAAAAACGTCTAAAAGATCCTTGTTTGAAGCGAACAAACCGGATAACAATTATTCAGCCGTCAACAACGAAATAACTAACCTTATGAATTTGCCCGTAGAAACATAAAAGCAAGTGAAAGTAAAATGTAAAATAGAAATAAAATGAAACCAAAGATAAATGAAATCAAATCAAAATTAAATACTACCCGGCCGAGCGCTGCCACTAGTTTTTTTTTGTTGTTGTTTTTTGTTTTGTTTTGTTTTTTTTTTTGCGGTCAGAAAAAAAAATGTGTTCGTGGCCGAACACTGCCACATGGCCGAGGGCTGTCAAACAAACCCAGAATTCTTTGCAGGATGCCTTTCAAGATNACATGTGATCGGAAGCGTGGGGGTATAGAAAGGGTCTGTTAGACCTTCGAAGAGGGGGGTAAGGAGTCAAATTTACCCCTGTAGCCCTCCTATTTAAGGGAAAATTCCAAAAAAAGTGTCTGACTCTTCAGAATGTAATAATAATAGCAATAGTAATAGTAATGAGTTACAATAATGATAACGGTTTAATTGTATTTCAGCTCTGGCTATTCTACTGCGTTAAAAAAAAGAAAAAGAAAAAAAGAAAGATTTGGAAAGTTGAATTAATGTAGCATTTGTCCTGCACATTCATCCAAATTCTGGACATAATATAACCAGGTTGCTACATAAAATACCTTATAACAACTGATTTAGTGTAACAGAAAGCCAGCTTGTCTTCGTACGTTGGATATGTCAAGAGTTACCTTTTTGTCACGTTTCTGGGTCCTTTTGTGAAGGAGTCTCATTGCTCTGCTTGTTTGAAAAATTATAGCATCAGGTGGCACAGTTTAAATAGGGTCTCTTGGTTCAGCGATACGCGTCAAATCCATAAACAATCAAGCAGTACAAAGAATATAGCATGACTGCAGTGCTTGGGGTGAATGTCATGAAAAATCCAACGGCTCTTTTCAGAGGATGCATGGAGTAGCCCACGTAAAACAGAACTCGAGAAATAACGAACAGGATCACTAGTAGAGGCACCCAGTGCATACTTTCCTCGGTCAGGTAAGTGGACAAAACAATGAGACCAAAAGAATGGAGTAAGAACTGCTCAACGGTGTTCTGAAGAAAATTCGAACGCATTTCTACGTACTTCTTGCCGCTTTTATCGAGTGGGTCAATAGCAGACGTTGCAAATCGCACGTTTCCAACCAAAATGACTCCAGCCCAGATCGAGAGAAGAGACACCATCAGCCAGCGAAGGGTGAACACAACTCTGTCGAACAAGGTTGGGAGACGCGGTTTAGGGAACGAGATAAACACTGCCATAAAGACGAAGCAAACCAACAGAACAGCGCCACAAAATATCCAAGTTAATACCATTTTTTGACTCTGCGTGTACCTTTTTTTATGATCTGCATCGGTCGCCATTTTGTCGTAACGCGCGAATGACAATGAATGGTTGATTTGCGGTTTGGAGCTGTGCGTGACTTATTATCTGTCAACAGTCTACGGTGTAAATTTCCTTTCATTATAAAGAGGTCTTGAAATCATCGTCTGTTGTCTTTGTCAGGGTAGCTAAACAGTAGAATACACCACAACTTGGTTTTTCCAACATTCACCATGACGAAGGGCTAACGCTCGACTCGTCAGGTTGAGAAACTCTACGGTAATGTTAAACCTCCATCGACGCAGCACTGCTCTTTCTTTCGAAACTTCCCTCTTTTAGAGGATGGATAAAGATGGCCTACATAAAAAAAAAAATTAAGTCAGATTATGATCCTCCAACTTGGATTTTTATATCGCTTTTGTAGGTAAGAAGAGAAGGCGAATTTATGAGGTCGTCATGTGATTAAAATAAAAACTACTGACACCAAGAGATTGTAAACGGTTTACAATCTCCGGGTCATGCTCAGTCTCCCTCGCAGTCGTTCTCTGCAATGTCACGCAATGCTCCTGACTGCTTTTAGTTCGAGTGGGGTTTGAATTCCTAACATCAAAAGGTCGATTTTGTTTCATCAACGTGATGTTAGCTTCAGTGCTGATAGTAGTCTTCATTCTGAAGTCATTTCACGTGATTCAAGCCGACGGTGTTCTAGTTGGAGCTTTCGTGATGCCCCACGGTAAGCAAAATTTAGTCACTCATTGAAGCGTGTTGCTAGTAATCAGAAACTATTTTGTATGAAAACATTTAATTGTTCTTGTGTAAAATTATGATTCGAGACTTGATATGAGGAAAGGAGTAGAAAAATGATCGGGCCATGAAACAGCAACAAGTTTCCTCTAGCTGAGGAATCAATCGAAGTCGCTTGACGGAGAATGATGAATCAAGTAACTCAAGACGTGATTATGCATCATTATGTATTATTATTATCAATAAAGATTTAGAAATGCAAAGACTAGCAAAAACTAACGATAAAAACCGACGTTTCGGTGTCNCTATACACGCGGACACTTACACACACGCGTGGATGGACATAAACGAAAGGCATCTTCAATATATAAACACTACCACGAACGGCACAGCGAAGTCCCGAAAGACCTACTGAAACGTTTTAGCATTCTGAAAAAGTGTAGTAACAAGTTCGATTGTTTGGTGAACGAAATGCTTTTCATCAGAGACTTAAAACCCACTCTGAACGTGCAAAGCGATTCAATTCGCGCAAAAGTATTTGTTTAATTAGCTCGTAACATATTTATGCTAATTTAGTGTTACACCTTGCCACAAACTTCATTTTTTATTTCTCCTTGACAATGATGACACCGAAACGTCGGTTTTTATCGTTAGTTTTTGCTAGTCTTTGCATTTATGTATTATTCGCGCCGTTCTTTAAACATTTCCTAAGCTGATGACAACGAGAAGTTGTTTCGAAATCAAAAGCGTCTTCAGTTAGTAACATTTCCTTGTCTTTGGGTAGTTTGGAACATAAGGAATGCCGGAATTCGGAACCGGAACCGGAATACTTGGACCTGGAATATTCCCGGAATTCCCGGAATGACCGAAAAATAGTAATTTTTAAAAAAATAGAAGTAAATTAATAAACAAATAAGAATATTGATTATTAAAATTTGATGGTAATTTCACAACTTAATTAAACAATTTAAAACGAAATTTTTCTCTGAGGGTCCCAAAAAATAAACACTTACCGGCACTGTTCACGGAAATGCATGTATTAGAATTAAATAAAGTCTGCGTCAGGCCAGTAGCCCATACAGCCTAAGCGACGAAATATTTGCACTCTCCCTTCCCCCTGGATGGGATGCTAATCCATCACATGGTTTCTCCCCGTTTTAAATTCGCCTCCACCCATTTACACACCTGTAGGATGTCTAGGGCGCCATGACCATGAGGCCGCCACGTTTTACCAGCCGGAACCATTGCAGAAGATTAAACAAATGCAATATTTCCCATTAGTTTAATAGTTCAATAGTAAAAAGCTCCGAATTATTACAAATTAATACTCTACCTTAAATAATTATTAACCACACATTGGGAGCTATCAAAGCAGCTACCATTAAGACCAGCCGTCTACAGTTAAAACTGAGAGATCTTCAGTTACTCGACACCTTTTCGTGTTTATTATAAATACCTTGAATATATACCTTTGAATACAAACCTTGTTCAGAAGAATCCATCGGTGCAAGGTTTATATTAAAAGGTATATAGAATAAACGCGACAAGGTGTCCAGTAACTGACGATCTCTCAATTTGACTGTAGACAGCTGGTCTTAAAAAAAAAAGTCTTTTTATAGGATTACACAATTACTGGTGAACCAGTAGTTTCCATTATGGTCCTTGCAAACAAATGAAACAAATGGTCTAAATTGAACATAACATCATTAAGAACTCCAACCAGCCGGAGGCAAACCAGTTGGCTATTTACAAGCGTGGCCAAGGATCTGAACTCG